ACCCGCTACGGTTTCCAAAAGTGCTGGGATTACAGGCGTGAGCCACTGCACCCAGCCTCAGATATATTAGTTTAAATTATTTTTAGCAAGTTACTGCTTTCCTTAGCTATATCCATCCTCATGCAGCGTCTTTTCCTAGAATGTCTCTTTATTAGCTATTTGCTTAATGTTAAACAGGCACTGGACACTGTTTTCATCCCTTACCTGAGACTGTAGAAAGTAGCCACTTGCTGCCTCACTCTATCCTATTCAAGGGTACTCATTAGGCACTTCAGGTTATGTGTTTTGTGGTTTTCTTGCAGTGCTTGATGCAGCACATCATCGACACTGGCCTGGAGTATTGAAGGTGGTATCAGGATGCCACATATCCTTATTTCAGATTCCATTACCAGAGGATGGAATGCAATTTGGAGGATCAATGAGCTTACATGGAAATCATATGACACTGGCATGTTTTCATGGTCCAAATTTCCGTTCAAAATCTTGGGCCCTTTTTCATTTAGAAGAACCAAATATTGCTTTTTGGACTGAAGCTCAGAAAATCTGGGAAGATGGTAAACTGACGCATTTCTAGCTTTTACTTTCTCCTATCTTGTTATGACTATAAATGACAATTATATTTCTGAAGTCCATCTCTGATTGTTCTCATGTATCTGACATGTTAAGGAGTTCACTGCCAGTGAGTCAATATTTATAATGTCTGGAACATGTTAATTTCTGAACTTGCCATCTTACTCCATGTTTCTTAGGCAATTAAAGTTTCTGCTGCTGTGGCTAAACATAGTCATGGTAATAGTTACTGTAATCTTATAAAAACATGAAGTGAAGGCAACATCGTGGTAGTGTGGAAATTATTTGCCAGTCAAGACTGTCTTATAAAATATATAGGCAAGGCTGTGCTTTTATCTCTACAGTGATAAACCCATTTCCTTTGAGCTTTACTTTTCCACTTGGTGGTTTCTACATTATGAGGGAAAAAAATGTTTGATGCTCTTCATCTAACTAGGGACAAATCCAGTTACCACTAATAGAAGAATTATTTGTGAATTATTTGGTTTTAATCCTCATTTACTCTTCATTTTTATAGCATTCCTATATATGAAACTGAATTTATAGCTCTGAGGCCACAGTTATCATCTTGAATCTAAATATGGTTTATTACTTTAAAAAGTATTTTTATTTTGTTCTAGGCTCCAGTGATCATTCTACATATATTGTACAAACACTAGATTTTCATCTGGGTCATAATACTATGGTTACCAAACCATGTGGTGCTTTGGAAAGTCCTATGGCAACAATAACCAAGATAACAAGGCGTCGCCATGAAAATCCACCCCATGGAGTAGCAAGTGTGAAAGAATGGTTCAATTATGTTACAGCCACAAGGAATGAAGGTTAAAATTTTGAGTCTTTAGAGAGATTTATTTTGTTTTTTCCATTTTGGCTTCTGTTGACTGTGTTTAGAATTTAAATGGAGACAGTGTTTTCATTTCCTTAAACAATTTTCATTTTAATCTTGCTGGCTGACACAAGTAATAATTATTTAATACCACCCTGGTAATGCGGCATCTCATGGACTCAAATTATTTTAGATGTAATTGAAAACATTCTAAATAAAATTGGCTTTGAAATTAAGTTTATTACATTGAGAAATATTTTAGAAAATATTTAGGAAATGATTCTGGAAAAATATTTTCCTAGTAATGCTAAAAAATGGAGGTTTGGGGAGGTTGTTAAACAACTAAATAGTGGAATACCACAAACTTAAAGTTCAGATAGCTAGAACAGAATGAAACCAAATATTATGATTCTATCAAGTTGTAAGTTTAAAAGAAAGTGCTTTTGATAGTTGTTGTTGGTTTTTTTTTTTTTTTTTTTTTTTTTTCATTTGATTAGATACAACAGTCTTGTGATAGTGTGGTCATGATAACTTATTTTGTGGTGCTTTTGGGATTTGGGTTTATAGTATTGCTTTTACCAATTATCTCTGTGTATTGGAAGGCTGACTAGAGTGAGAGGTGATGAGACTTTTCAGTGTGTTACATAAAAATGACCTTTTTTCTTTTTATTTGAGACGGAGTCTTGCTCTGTTGCCCAGGCTGGATCTTGGCTCACTGCAACCTCCATCTCCCAGGTTCAAGCGATTCTCCTGCCTCAGCCTCCTGAGTAGCTGGGATTACAGGTGTGTGCCACCCCACCTGGCTAATTTTTGTAGTTTTAGTAGAGACAGGGTTTCACCATGTTGGTCAGGCTGGTCTCAAACTCCTGACCTCGTGATACACCCGCCTCGGCCTCCCAAAGTGCTGGGATTACAGGCATGAGCCACCATGCCCAGCTAAAAATGACCTTTTTTCAAAACGGAAAAGATGATGATTAGGCCCCATGAGAACAGTTACCATGGAATAGGCCATCTCACAGATTGAATAGAGACTGTTAAAAATGTTCCTAGAATAAAGGAGAATAAGAAAGTGAATCAGAAGATTATGCCTGTATTGACTATTTTACCTTCCAAACAGGGATTTGGGGGAAGGGGGATCTTTATGGCTGGAGTGTTCTAAAGCATCTATTAGCATAATGAACTGCTGTCTGAGGAAAAATAATTATAATTCTAAGATCTATAAAAGATCTTTATAAAACTAAGATCTATAGTTTAATCATAGCACATATGTTGGGGAAAATCAGTACTTCTACCTGATTTCAAGACCAGGATCCTATTTAATCTCAAATTCTGTAAGAGTGAAGTGTTCAATCTATGGAGCCTTTTGGGATTAGTGAAATTCCAACTTCAGACATGAATTCAGTTAAGAATAATACTCATTTTAAAATTTCAGAAACCAAAGCTAGAATGTATTCGGTTTATACAAATCCCATTAAAGCTTTGGTCTTGACAACCGTGAGATACTGATATTGATATACTACATATATCTATATACATATATATGTGTGTATATATACATATATATCTATGTATATATCTGTATACGTATATATGTAGTGTATCTATATCTCTATATATAATGTGATTCTTTCCAACTTTTGAAATAATAGTTCTGTATATTATAGTGGCCTATGATTTTAATTTGACTCTCTATCATTATGCATGTAGAGCTAAATCTACTTCGTAATGTTGATGCTAACAACACTGAGAATAGCACTACTGTGAAGAATTCTAGTTTGTTGAGTGGATTCAGAGGAGGTTCTAGCTACAACCATGAAACAGAGACTATCTTTGCATTACCAAGGATGCAGCTTGACTTTAAATCCATTCATGTTCAAGAACCACAGGAGCCTTCATTACAGGGTATGTAGAAAAACAATTGAAAGTTAATAAGAAAATTCCAAAGGCACTTCAAACTACTGCTTTCTTCCCATGGATTTTTAAAAATATTAATATCTAATGAAATTGATTTTCTAGGCAAAGCTGATTTATTTTCTTATCAGCTATATGACCTCTGGAAAATTACTTAATGAACTTATACCTCTCTCAGTAAAATGAAGAATAATTGGACTTCATTTATAGGACTATTATGAGGAATAAATGGCATATATAGGTTGAGCACCCCAATCCAAAAATCTGAAATGCCCTAAAATCCAAAATATTTTGAACACTGACATGACACTCACAGGAAATGCTCATTGGAGGATTTCAGATTTTTGGATTGGAATTCTAAAACCAGTAAGTATAATGCAAATATTCCAGAATCCAAAATTTGAAAGGCATCTGATCCCAAGCATAATTGGATAAGGTATACTCAATCTGTACTAGGAAAGTACTTAACAAACTATCATCATCCTATGAATCACATACAGATATTACTCATTTCTTTACAGTTGCATTTCATGTGGATGCATTTATGCAGACCTATGTAAATCCTTATTAATGGGAAGAAGATGACTCATTTTATTAAATCTCTTACCATATTATTGCAGATGCCAACCTGAAGCCAAAAGTAGAATGTAGTGTGGTGACAGAGTTCACTGACCACATTTGTGTGACTATGGATGCTGAGCTCATCATGTTTCTTCATGATTTAGTGTCAGCTTATCTTAAAGAAAAAGAAAAAGGTGGGTGGAATACTCTTTCTTTCAGGCTGCAGGAATGGCAGCTGTCAGTGCCATTTACATGAATTGTTATGGTCTAATGAGAAAATGAGTGGAATATATCTCCTTCTGTGAGTTGAAGATATCAGTAAATAGCGTTAGTAACACTATCACAGACTTTCTGAGTACTTGCTATATATACAGCGCCAATGGTGTTTTATACTCTACAAAGTGTTTCTGTATACATTATCTTATGTACATTTTCAGTTAGACCTTATAGGAGATTCTTGAAAAATAGGAAAATGTGAGGAAATACTGCAAATCAAAGTGAAATGACTAAAGAAACAACTACATAATAAAGAAGTATGAGTTATTTACCTAATTGTGAAAACTAAATTAAGCTGATAAATGTTTGGAATGCAGAAAACCTTTTCTTTTTAATACATAAATTATTTAAATCTCAGTGGTGGTATTTGGGTTCATGAGCTTGCTAATACTGGTTTACACACTGGTAACTTAATGTTTACCCATGAAGAAATGTATGGTGACTGGGGGCAGTGGCTCATGTCTGTAATACCAGCACTTTGAGATGCCGAGGAGGATGGATTGCTTGAGCCCAGGGCTTTGAGACCAGCCTAGGCAACAAAGTGAGACCCCATTTCTACAAAAAACACAAAAATTAGCCAGGTGTGGTGGCATACACCTGTAGTCCCCAGCTACTTGGGAGGCTGTGAGGTGGGAGGACCAATTGATCCTGGGAGTTCAAGGCTACAGTGAGCTGTGAGCCATAATCGTACCACCACACTCCAGCCTGAGTGACAGAGTAAGATCCTGTCTCAAAAAAAAAAAAAGTATGGCAACCGTAATATATGGAATTAGCTAATATATTATAGTACTCTGTAACTGTTGAAAAGAATGAGGTAGTTTGAAATGTAATGATTTGGAATGCTTACAAAATATATAGTCATTTATTCATTCAATAAATATTTATTGCACCGTTATAAATATACAATGGTAAAATCACAGATGTGCTTCCTGATAAATAGCTTGGAATAAATGTAATTTGTTCAAGTCACACTATAATACTGTTTCATTTTCTTCATGAGGAAAAAATATAGAATTTGTCCTGAAGATATTTTAAAAATAAAAATTATCAAACGACCATGTTGAAAGAGTACAAAGGTAGCATAGCATACATTGAAATGCTGTTGTATTAATATTCAATCGAGATGTGCCCAAAATTCAGTGAGAGAGTAAAATCAATAATGATGGCTGGTAGAAATCCATATGACCTCAGTAGAAACTTCAAGTAAAATGACAGAAACTGTATAATAGGCAATCTTATATATAAGTAGATAAAATCTTCACATACAGCCCCAACAGATACCAGTCACTGGTAATCCTTTCGTTTTTGTGCCTTAATATTTAAACTTAATGTAGAAAAAAATAGATTCAAGATAAACCTGTGAAGTTCAGAATTATTTTCTAGTCTACCTATATTTGAAAACCTGACAAATTTGTTTCTCTTGGGTATGATGTGAAACATTTGTCATTTTATGAAATAGTGTGTTGATCTTGGTCTGCCACAAACGATGTGTATTTCTAAAAAACAACAACAAAAAGACTGTTTTAATATAAACTGTTATAAAACATTTCAATGGGAAAAGGGGGTGGATTTTACAATAACAAAATATATCTGTGAGGATTTCAATTATAAATAAAGTTATTACAAACAACAAGCAATTCGTTTTGGCCAAATACTCAAAACATACCTGAGAAAATTCTTAACAGCATGTCAGACTATACCAGAATCAACATATTTAGAGAACATCAAAATAGACTGCAGCACTGTAACCAGCACCAGTAATAAAGACCCAGCAACTGAGCAGGCCTCAACTGAACAGGGCATCTGTGTTCTTATGTAGTGGGTTACTACAGCTTCATTTTGAGGCTTATTCCCAATCAAGTTATAACCAGAGCTACATAACATGTATTACCTAATCAATCAATTATTTTACATCCAGTTTGTGTACTGAAACTAATGCCCTAAGAGGAAAGCTGTATTCATTAAATAAGATCATATGAAAGTATTAATGGCAAAAACTGCAATTACTTTTGCACCACTCTAATACCTATGTCTCAGATTCCACTTTATATTTAATTATTATAGCCAATTAAAAGACTTGTCTTAAGGTGAAAAGCTTGCTTACATAAAAACCTCTTTAGTACCACTGTTCAAATATATATACATCTAGCCATTAACATGCAAAAACCATTAATTACACAGCTTAAATTAATGCATGGTATGGTGTATGAATTCTATCTCAAAGCTGTTAAAAAAAAAAAAAAAAAAAAAAAAAAAAAAAACTGCCTACAGCCATTCTTTAGGAAACCTGCAGCTATCAATTTCAGTGCCATAGGCTTGCTATCAAGTCAATGATCTCAGCATTTTTTATCATTAATGTTGACACTGTTTATCTCCAAGAAATATCAATAATCGGTACTTATGGCTTATTTTAAACTTTTTTTTTTTAAGAAATGCAATTAAATGAGGCTTTGGCCAGGTCACAGATAAAATGAGAAATGAAACCAATTCTGATGTTCTAATTCTTATGGTGATTTAAGATAAATGTATAATACTAATCTAAATTTTCCTTATAGCCATCTTTCCACCTCGGATTTTATCTACTCGACCAGGACAGAAAAGTCCAATTATTATACATGATGACAATTCCTCTGATAAAGATAGAGAAGATAGCATCACTTACACTACTGTGGACTGGAGAGATTTTATGTGCAATACATGGCATCTAGAACCTACTCTTAGGTAAGTAATGAGTATATACATTTTACCCATATGCTAAGGGATTACTACGAGAAAAGTTAACTAATGTAAGTTACATATGATTATCGAAATATGTATTCAGAAGTTAGTCTCCTGTAATGTCTATAGCTTCTGTGTGCTGTCTTTGCTGCTGCTTTCAGCTTTTGTGTTTCTAGGTAAGGTGAATGAAGTACAAACGCTGAGAATAGCTCAGCACTGATGAGTTGTCCAGTGGGTGACATTCTGTCAGTCACTAAAATATGAGAATAATTATCCTTCCACTCTTGCCATTAGTTTTTCACCTTCTCACCAAGATGTTATTTTCAGGGTTTGAGGTAGCTACTGTAAACTGTTTTGTTACTTAGTACGACAAGATGCAGTAGAAGTCATATTTAATTGTTAAGGAACTATTTTAATTTCTCGCTGGATATATGTTATAACACTGTAATAAAACCTGTAGGGTCACAGTGCCCCTCTGTTTGCATACTAAGCATTATAAAACCATGCCTAAAATCTCAAATTTAACACTATCAGATTAAGGTTCCCTTACTGAGTCATGGTCACCTTCCTGTTTTTTTTTCCTTTCATCTCATCTGCTTTGCTGTAACTGTCTGAATCCTGAAATAACAGTATTAAAAAAAATCCATTACATCCCAGCACAACATTCCGCAAAATGATATAGATTTTATTTAGATAAGGTTTTTATTCAGACATATTTATGTCACAAAATAATTCCAAAATAAAATCTCCATTATGCAGTGAGGACTCTTGTATAGGCAGAAAGTAGTGACTTTGTGTGTTAATAAATAATTGGTATACAGTAAAATTGGTTGTAACTAAATAAGCAAAACACTTTGGTACTAATAGTGCATATACCCATGAGAAATATTAACTGTTAAAATACTGCAGAGGTCCTAATGCAGAAAACTGTTTGTAAAATCTGTTTTGTATTTGCAAATCTAAATAATAATATATTTAAATTGAATACAAAATGAATTGTTTCAAGTGAGCATAAAAATAGTTACTATATTCCTTTTTTTAGCAAACTATCAAGAGTAACTAGTTAAGTAATGTGGTGTAGTGGTAGCATGGTTTAAGAGCTCTGGCTGTAGGCCCAGCTCTTTTGCATAGTAGCTGACTGAGCTAGGCCAAAAGACCTGACCCCTCTGGTTCTCTCTGCCTCAGTTGACTCACGAAAAATTTGGAAAATAATATTACCCACCTTGTAGGATCATTACACTGGTTAAATGAGTTAATTAATGCAAAATGCTTATAACTATTTGAGTTTGAGGAGATAAATGCCTGATCATCCCCAACCCCCACCCTGAGTTCAGAACCAGTTGAAATAGTGGGAGAGATTAATATGGATAAAGCTGATAACAAAAAATGTGGTTTAGATATATGGCAACAATAGCTTTCTACAAAGTTCGGGTTTGGTCCTACCTGCAGGGCATCGATGCAGAACTTCAGGGAAGGGCGGGATAGGGAGTTGCAGGAGTTGTACAATCAGCAGTTCCATGTATGTACTCAGCCACAGACAACACAGAATATACTCTAGGGCTAATCTGTTTAGCGGCTTGCTCCTGAAAAATCTGTGGCATGAAGGAACAGACTAAAATGAAGGGCTCCCAACAGGGAGGAGGGTACTGAACTGTTACTTCCTCTGTTAACTCTGCCTATTGGATAAATCATCCATACAGGGGCAGAAGGTGGCCAGGAGTGTTTCAGTAATAGCTGTTCTCCACGTATAAGGAAATAGCAAGAATAGGGAAAAAATGGTTCTCCCTTCAAATATGTTTAGCACATAGCATTCAGTAAATTTTAGCCTTTTTTTCCCATTATGCCACATGCTTATGAAATCTACTAAAATTAACCAGATGTCTTTTTATATGTTTAAGATAACTGTATAACAGGCCTAAAGTAAATTATTCAGGATGAAATATAGTAAACACTACTGCTGTGTTTCAGTTGTCAAAGATAATCATAGATATATTATTTTTTGAATACTATTATTATGGTGAATCCAGGAATTATGGGCTCAATTATACAAATGTACCTACTGAAAATATTTTGTCTTGAGTATATTACAGAGGCTTAGTGATGTTCTTTTCCTACCATTAGAACCGTGCTCTAGGGCATTATTATACTCCTTAATAATAACTGTAATTTTTATTTTAGGTTAATTTCTTGGACTGGAAGAAAGATTGATCCAGTAGGTGTTGATTATATTCTTCAAAAATTGGGCTTTCATCATGCTAGGACTACTATTCCTAAATGGCTTCAAAGAGGAGTCATGGATCCACTGGACAAGGTTCTGTCAGTTCTTATCAAAAAGCTCGGTACTGCACTACAGGATGAAAAGGAAAAGAAAGGCAAAGACAAAGAAGAACACTAAAAAGTAATTTGATCTTTGAACAAATGATTGTGTCTGTTAAGTTTTATTACACTGGAGTGTTTTTTTAGTATAATAATTTTAAATATAACTTTAAAATAATTCTAAATTTGTGGCTATTATAATTAAAAGTTTGTAAGTTAACCAGTTTATTCTAGTCTCATCATTCTGTGTACAGTAAAGTATTGCATGATAATGTAAATTTTGTGAAAAACTAGTATTAAAATATATAAATCTTGTTATGGTTTATAATTATATAATGTGCAATACAATTCCTGCATCTTTAAAATGTTTGCAGAATAACTGTGAATTTTTTTGTAACTGGCCATAACTTTTAGAAAAAAATCTTGTTGCTAATGTGATTTTGGGGAGGTCATTAATTGCTTTTTCTTTTTTTAATGTAGACTTGTATAAATACCTGTCTGTATATAGCTTGAGTAATTGTGATATGATTGTATACCACTAAAATATTGTTAACTATTGTAATAAAGTCACAATAATGGTTTAAGTCTGTAGTCGTTTTTGAATCTTTTTCTCCTTTTTATAATTAATAGATGCCCATCCTGTGTCACAGCTGATCAGATGCTTTCACAGAAGATAATTTATACCTATATTAGAATCGGGCCATAGGTTCTACCTCTGTGGATTCAATCAACTGTAGATCGAAAATATTCAGGAAAAAAAAAATTCCACCCAAATTCCAAAAAGCAAAACTTGTATTTACGAAGTACTACATTAAGTCCACATGAATGATGTGTAGGCATTGTATTAGGTATTGCAAATAATCTACAGATGATTTAAAGAGTATCCAGGAGAATGTACGTAGGTTATATTCAAATACTACACAATTTTATATGAGGAACTTCAGCATCTACAGATGTTCTGGAACCAATCCCCCATGAACACGGAAAGATGACTATGTTTATAAAAAATTAGCTCAGGAAGGATGCAATTAGGGACAGGCACACAAGAGGTATATTAATAATACCTAAGAGAAATATTAGGTATTGTTCTTCCTTAAGCTAATGGTAAATTCACAGCAAGTAATTTTTGTTATACTATATTCCTTACACGTTTGTATTTTTTGTGTGTATGAAGTTATATATAATGTATGTTATATATTACATATATATGTATTATGTACACACGTTAAGTATAAAAAAAATTAAAATAGCAAGATCTAAAATAATATTCAAAGGTAGCTATAATTACCTCAGGCTCGAAATCTAGCGAAGTCAGTATGGCCAGTTTAAAGATTGGGTAAACAGTAGAATTGAAGAGCTAAAGTTACAAAACACCTAAAGCAAGAGCTTTCATTTAGGTAGGTAACACAGTTTTATCTCTAACAGATTAAACAACCAAAAGCTCCAGAAGAGCTGAGGTACTTAGCCAAGGGTACAGATCTAGTAAATGTTAGTAGGGGAATTAAGACTTGCTGTCTAATGTCACACAGCAACTTAGTCACACAACCAAAACCCTAGTGTTAACAGTCCTAATTTTGTATTCTTTCTGCTAGGCCATTGTAGCTGTCATCTGTCTGATCTCTGAATCCCACCCCCATATCTCTTAATTGGTGCCTATAAAATAACAAGTATAAACTTACCCTATTTCTGGCACTAACTGTGATAATGTTATAAAAAGCAAAAGGACAAATTAAATCTGTAACTACTTAAAATCTCTATGACTCTGTTGGACAAAGCTATGAGAAAACTAGCACATCTGTGCACTACTGATGAGAAACTAAATTGGTACAACTCCCATGAAGGACAATTAAGTAACAGCTATCAAAATAACAGGCATATAATTTTTACTGGACATACATACAGTACTTCTGTGTGTGAAATAATTATACAAGCATATATATTTGCAGTATTCTGCAATAGTGCAGTATTGTGGGAGTATGTTGCAGTAATGTTGCAGTATTCTTTGTAATAAATGGTTGGAAACAATTCAAATGTTCATCAGTGTAAGACAGGTTAATTAAAAGTGACATCCATTCAGTAGCATAGTATGCAACCATGAAAAAGGGAAAAAAGATGATCTTTAAGATTTATTCCCAAATAAAAAAGCGTGGTCAGCTACTTAGATTACAATGTTTCCAAGTGATCTATTATACTTATTTTTTGAGTATCACGTACCTTGTTCTATTCCAGTACATCACATGGTGCATCCAGATAACTTGTAAAATTTCAATAACATGTAAAAAAAATGTATATAAAGGATTTTGCTTTCCTATCTGTAAACGTACTTTTAGGCTTACCAGAGATCTGTTATTGGCAAACTGTCTATAGTGAAGAACCCTTTTTTAAAAAAAGTTGAACATGATATAAATCAATAATCTTGTAAAATATAGTGACAATTATTCAAAATGAAAAAAATTAAAATACACAAAATAAAGCTCAAATTTTTAATTATTAGGTTTGATTTATTAGATTCAAATATTCCATCAATTGCTGTAAGAATTTCTAGGGGATTTCTGGCAACGTGGCCCAATAGAAACAGCTCCAGTCTACAGCTCCCAGCGAGACTGATGCAGAAGAGGGTGATTTCTGCATTTCCAACTGAGGTACCTGGTTCATCTCATTGGGACTGGTTGGACAGTAGGTGCAGCCCACAGAGGGCAAGCTGAAGCAGGGCGGAGCGTTGCCTCATCCAGGAAGCACAAGGGGTGAGGGGATTTCCCATTCCTAGCCGAGGGAAGCCGTGAGTGACCATACTTGGAGGTAAGCTACACTCCTGCCCAAATACTGCACTTTGCCCACAGTCTTTGCAACTGGCAGACCAGGAAATTCCCTCTGGTGCCTGGCTCAGTGAGTCCCATGCCCACTGAGGCCAACAAGCTAAGATCCATTGGCTTGAAATTCTCGCTGCTAGCATAGTAGTCTGAGATCGACCTGAGATGCTAGAGCTTGGTTGGGGGAGGGGCATCCACTATTGCTGAGGCTTGAGTAGGCAGTTTTATGCTCACAGTGTAAACAAAGCCTCCAGGAAGTTTGAACTGGGTGGAGCTAACCACAGCTCAGCAAGGCCCACTGCCTCTCTAGATTCCACCTCTGTGGGCAGGGCATCTCTGAACAAAAGGCAGCAGCCCCAGTCAGGGACTTATAGATAAATCACCCATCTTCCTGGGACAGAGCACTCAGGGGAAGTGTACGTTATCATCAGTTGTGGGCACAGCTTCAACAGATTTAAACGACCCTGCCTGACAGCTCTGAAGAGAGTAGTGGTTCTCCCAGCACAGTGTTTGAGCTCTGATAACGGACAGACTGCCTCCTCGAGTGGGTCCCTGACCCCCATGTAGCCTGACTGGGAGACACCTCCCAGTCGGGGCTGACAGACACCTCATACAGGAGAGT